TTTTAACCCAACGAGAAAGAAGAGGAAGCCGGCCGAGTCGTGTGAACACACATTTTCCTTAAAACCGATTCGCTACCTCCTGGGGGTGCTAGGAGCGTTGTGGCGTCAGTCTCCCAGGATAAAACGGACTACGACTTTGGTGTTCGAGCACTCAAACCCCAAAGCCCGGTGAACAAGAACACAGGTTCAACACTCCGTACGAATCTACGGAAGATGTTGACATAATTTCTTTTCCTTCATAGCAAAAAGAATTGAGAGAAGAAAGAAAGGAAAATCAAAAGGTATGATAGTTCAAAACTAGAGTGTTCTAAAACATTATGCCACACCAAGCTTTTATAGGGAAGAGAGGAGTTAGTAGCCCACTAAATGGCACATTAAACCAATATTACTCCAATTTAATAATTGGATAATAACGTTTGAAATGGTCGTACTTATTATTGTAATAATATCAACGATCACGAACTTAATATCCGATTTATTCGTACTGACCATAACGACATGTTTCAAAAATACAAGAGTGACCGAGAAGTTCCTATATACAAAAGGTTTAACCATTCGAAACTGACCAAGGCATCTGAAATAAAAGCATTGACTCGGTGCAATAAAGCACCATCAGCTCGTGCTCATGCACCAAATTGGTGCAAAACACCGATTTGATACAAAGCATCAATTTGGTGCTAAGCACCAAATTTGGTGCTTAATTAAGCACATCACAGCTCGTGCTTAATAAAGCACAGCACACCTTGTGCTTAAAAAAGCACAGCATGCCTCGTGCTTAATAATTTCATTAGCACAAAGTGCTAATTAACACATTAACCTTTCAATTCAAAGCAACAAATGCTTTAGTTATCCATTTATGAGTGCTACCAAAATTAGCACGGATCGAATTAGACTTCTCTCATATGTTCACTTTGAGAATCATTTTCTCATTCACCTATTACCTATTTTATGTGTACATTATATCAAATTCTTCGTCTCACTACGAAGAGTGCAAATCTACTTTGACCCGACCCAATTTGGATGTGGACCCTACATATATTTGTACCATAAAATAACCACTCATAAATGTCATTTTAGCTAAAAATTCCAACATCTCTTAGTATATATACCTGTAATATGTACATTTGTAATCATATTCATTAATACAATTCTATCAGTTCTCATTTGGTATTAGTTAACTAGGGTTTCTTTCCAATGGCTGACGGATCTATTGACTCCTCTCACAATGTTCTTGAGATCTTCTCGTTCAGCCAAGAGTCGAGCATTATCTTCTTTTAACTTGGAATATCTGCTTTTCACAAATTTAAAATCCTTCATTAGTTTCATAACCGAATCCATAAGATTTTCTTCATTTCTTGGACTATATTCACATTGAGTTGAGGAAGAAGACTGAGAATTTACCTCATGCTCTTTACCTACCAGGCATATGTTGTCATCATACTCCTCTTGGCTATATAGGCAAAGAAGCCCTTTCTTGTCTCTAGAGCTATCACTATCTAAGCTGGAGCTGGAGGTGCATGGCTTGGGTTCGGCTTTCTCTATCACCTCGTCTGCAACTAGTGTCTTCCTTCTTCTATCGCCTTTATAATGGGTGACTAACTGAATTCTTTCACTCGTCTCGGCAGGATTGTTTCTCGTGTTGTTATTGGGAGTGTTTGTGCTTCTGTCTTGGTCATGATGTTTGTGTACCACTGGATAAGGACATTCTGCCTTGAAGTATCCCGGTTTTTGACAGTTGTAGCAAAGCATATGCAACTCCTCTGGTTCACGTCTCTTAGAACCTCTCGGCCTTTCTGAGTGTATTCTGTTGGATGAGCTCGGTGTGGCTTGCGAGTCTTGGAAGTTATTCTTGTTCATAAACCTTTTAAATTTTCTCACAAACAGAGCAAATTGTTCATCAGTTAAAAAATCAGAAGGATTAGAATTTGACCTCGTTTATGTAGATGGTTGCTGATTAGCGACTGGAGCTACATTCTTTGGTTTGGGCTCCTCAACAGGCTTCGGCTCGTGTTCGAATTCATAAGCTTTCAGATCACTGAATATCTGCGACGTGAGAACTATCTTTAGATCTCGGTGAGCTCGCATGGTTATCACCTTCATGTCCCATGCCTTCGGCAAACCACGGAGAATCTTCAGATTGATTTCCTTCTAGCTCGGTTCTTTTCCGAGATCAATGATCTCGCTCAAAAGTTTCATGAATCTAGTCTCCATCTGACTGATAGACACATTGGGGTTCATTTTGAAGTCTTCAAACTTCTTCATGGCCACGGTCAGCTTGTTCTCCTTTTCGTGATCATCACCCTATCCTGTTTGCATTAGGGTTGCCCAGATATCTTTGTCAGTTTGGCACTTCCTAACCCTTGTGAACAATAATTCGTCCAAAGACTTGTAGAGTATGTCTTGAGCTACATTGTCTAAATTGGCTCGGGTTCGTTCTTCTGAGGTGAATGTCGCCTTCGGTTTTGGGATCATTTCTTCGGCATCTAGACCTTGAGCTGCTCTATTTGCATTTACCATCATGATGGTTATGGGTCCGTCAGTTATAATGTCCCACATTTCATCATGAAGGGCTGAAAGGTGTGCTTGCATGCGGATTTTCCAGTCATCAAACTTGGCTAGATTGAAAGCAAGAGGTCTAGAATAATGATTATGATGCTCCATTTTAAAGATTCGTGCAAAGATATAAAATAAATTTTTTGCTCCATTTTAAAGATTCGTGCAAAGATATAAAATAAAATTTTGGTCTTTTTGAATTGGGATCTACTAGGCAGTATATACAAAGCTTTTACCGATCAAGGAAACTGCTCTAATACCACCTGTTGGTCCTGATAGAGATGAAAAGTGAGTCTAGAGGGGGGGGGGGGTGAATAGACTCACTAGGGATTTCAAAAACTTTCTTCACGAGTCAATACTTTTATCGAATGATATTAGTAAAGAACCGATCAGAGGTAGAAAACAACACAACGGAAAATTTAACCTCTGTTTTCTTTTTAAGATTTATTTGCATGTTTGTTTATTTATTAAGAAATATTTGAGAGTGACTTATGATGCAATGCAAGCAATGAAAAGTATGGAAAGTAAAGAGAGAAAGAGAAAGATTTTTATAGTGGTTTGGCTGTTAATGAAACCTACTCCACTATATTTCACAACTAATGAAGGTTTGCACTAATCATTCCTTAGTACAAATAACACCACCAAGTTTGTCTCCTTGAACACCAAGCCGGACAACAAACTTGTATCAACAGGCTTTTCAACTACTAGAGTTTACTCCGCCTCTATCAACTTTATCCAAGTTGAGTGTTGTTTGAATAAATGGTTTCTTCTCTTCTCCAACTAGAAATCTTGGCATGGATAAGTTTAGATCTTTTGCACATTAAAGCTTCTCAAGATTTCTGAGATTCTAGATGTAGCTTGTTACTTAAACTCACTTCTAAATCACCGGTCGCTTGCTTGTAGAACATGAAACTTTTGAAAGCTTAGAAGTTTTTGAATAATGACCAACACCTCCTTCTAGATAGGAAGGGAGAGTGTAATAACCGCCAGGTATTGAGCATGTGTGGTTGTTAGTACTTTCTAGCCGTTTGTCCCATAAAGTGAGTGGTCTTTTGTCTTGTAGCTCTGCACAAAAGGACATGGCATTTAATGATTGTTTGACTTGGAGTTTGTTCCTAGGACTCGGATTATCCAAGGTAAACTATCTCACACATAAGACTTTAGACAGAATCTTTCATAGAATGTTTCTGGCTTGTCGACTCGTGTCTTTGTTTGCTCAAACACGAATGATTGACTTTATCATTCGTCCCATATCTCCTCAAATGATATTTCTTTATCATTTGGCAATGTACAACATAAGAGGTAAACCCTTCCATGATTCAGTCTTTAGTAACCTCTTGGCCTTGTGTCTAGCTTCAAGTCTTCATTCTTTTTATACTTCTTCCTTGAACACGAACCGTTGTCATCTATCAGCTCGGGTTATAATGAAGTTACCACGAGGTGATCTCTACGAGTGCTTCTAGCACTACTGCTGAATGATGATTCGGGTAACTATTCGTCAAAGAGTAAAACTTTACAGAACGAGATGAAATGAGGGGTCTAAATTCCTTAGTTTGGTATAATCAAAATCTAATTAAAAACTAGTCCTAACAAATAAGTATTGTATTCTGTTTACCATGTTGTATCTGTATTTTCTGTGATCTAATGAGAATGCGGTTCTTGGTTCTAGAGTTCAACTTGATCTTCTTCCCCCTTTTCTTTATACATAGTTATAGTGTATAATTACACAGGATTCATACGAGAATACACCATAATTCACAACATATAAATTATTTTAAGTCATTACAATTACAAAGTGCTGCCAATGATAGGAATTGATTGACGTGAGCTTTCTTTAACATGAAAAATACAATTCAATTATAACTATTATAACGAATTGAGCTGCCAAAAGAAGATTTTCACATTAGGGGGTAGGCGAGTCTCCACATTCTAGACCAGATAGGAGCATCAACATCTTGCAGGTTGGGCTGAAGCATTTTATAGCAACTCGTAACAGTGAATTTTCCTTTTGCATCACCCATCCACACAATTTTATCTTCAACTTGCGACTTATCTACGGGAATCTGCATGATCTGATGGGCATCATCATCTGTGAAAAGATCCTTAAGAATGTCCACTTCCCAATCACTTTTTTGCATGATCAATCATAATGATGGTTCTAACAAAATGACTGGAAGTTTTGGAACCTTTATTTCAATTAAAGAAAAGAAAACAATTGAACACAAAGAAAAGCTAGTCCCTGTATTATATGACTTTTTTTTTTTTTTTTTTTTTTTTTTATTTCTCAATTCTACGATGTGATTCATCAATTACGGAGTACTAAATAAATAAATTTCATCCCTCAATTTTTATTCAAGCTATCAATTTAGCTCCTCCACCTAATGGAGCTAACAAAAAAAAAATGCATGGAATCAAATTGAGAGAAAATGAAAATTTAGTATTACACCCCAAACCACTTATATACAATGACCTCAATATATTGAAGACATGTATTTCTCCAATAAGGATTTATATACAACACCAAGATTGTTCCTAACAAAAAAATAACATATGATACACCAAAGCTAATGTAGAAAACCTCTAGATCTACACCATTATTTTCTTCACTCTTACCATCAGAGTTAGATGGCAATGGAGATGGTGGTGACTTGATGTTGCTGCAACTAGTACGCAATGGCGGTCCACAAAGATAAGGATTGCCTTGGTAACTGTTTTCATCGAATGTTCCAAATTGAGCTTTTTGTTCTGGTATTGCACCTGTTAAGTTGTTGTATGCAACACTAAAGACCTCCAATGTGTTGAGCTTAAGTAATGCGTTGGAAATTCTCCCATTCAACTTGTTGTGCGAAAGATCTAGACTCTCGATATTATGCAATCTTGAAAATGTTTCAGGGATTGTGCCACTAAGATTGTTGTATGATAAGTTTGTTAAGTTTCCAAACTCATTTGGAATTTCACCAATGAGTCTATTTGCAGATAGATCGATTCCAGACATATATTTGAGGATGCTACTTTCATAGTTATACAAATTTCCTTTTGTTGTGAAATCCACCTCCGGAGGAACAACATTTGCTGGGAGCGAAATTGTGAACATAGGCTCAATTTGGGAAAAATAAGATAGCATTTTGATGGTTGTGATTTTTTCATCAGTCACCTCCAGACTCAATTTACCCAGACAATGGGGTATAGGACCAGTAAGATGGTTATTAGATAAATCTAATAAACTTAGTCTCATAAGTTGGCATACTTGAATTGGAATCTTACCTTCAAACTGATTTCCTTTGAGGAGAAGAATGCTCAATTTGGAGATGCTGCCTATCCAATCTGGAATAGGAAAACAAAGCCATTATCACTGAGATCAAGTATTACTAAGGCAGTGTTATTCAAAAATGCCTGCGTGAGTTGACCTCTCAAGTGATTTTTACCAAGGCGAACATGTCTTATGTAGTATGGGTTGAGGCAAGATGGAATTGACCCTGTTATATTGTTCTCTGATAAGTCTAGAAGAATGAGGATTTCAAGCTTACACAACTCTATAGGAATTGGACCTTCAAGATGATTCTTAGAAATCGAGAGTTGTTGTAAGCTTGTCATATGACCCATCCAACTTGGAATTTTTCCAAAAAGATTGTTGCCACTAATATCCAAAGAGCACAGGGAGATATTAGAAAGGCTATCCGATATGGTGCCTGTGAAATTGTTACCATCAAGATACAAGTACCAGAGCGATGATGAGTAGGCAAATTCTTGTATTATTCCTCCTTCCAACTTATTATTTGATAGTTTGAGAAAATTCAAAGAGTGGCAATATATCAACATCTCCTTTGGAATTTCACCTATCAATGAATTGTTTGACAAGTCCAACAATTCCAACTGGTTCAAATTGCCAAGATAGGAAGGTATCTCACCCTTGAACAAATTGTAGGAGAGGTTTAGTATCCATATATTTGGAAATGTTGAACTTAAGTTGGGAATTTCTCCACTTAACTTGTTTTTGGAGAAATCAATCACCCCCATGTAAAGGTTAAGATGTGATGGCAACTTAAGGATTCCTGTGAAAGCATTGTTGTTCATAAAAATTTCTTCAAGTTTTGTGTTGTTCTGTAGCAACCAATTAGGAAATTCTCCCTCCAAATTGTTTCTAGTGATCTGAAGAACTTTTAAATTGTGCTGGTAATGAAGAAATCTAGGCAAGTTTAGAAGGCCAATGCAATTTGACATGGTAAAGATATCTAATTGGAACTTAGGCACTAAAAGATGCCACTCAGTTTCAACAATTGCTTTATTTCCATCGGCTTCAAAGATCCTAAGTTTGGAATGGTTAGCAAAAGACTTGAATGAGGTGGGCACTTCAAAGGAGTTATTTGAAATTGAAAGAGTTTCAAGTGAAATGAGGGTTGAAAGTGGGGATGAATCAATGTTTCCAACAAACTTGTTTAGAGAGAGATCAACCAACTGAAGAGATGTCAAATATCTCATACATGATGGGAGCATTCCCTCAAACTGGTTTGCACCAAATCTGAGCTTTTGAAGGTTCATTAGTTCACACCAACCTATAGTGATGTAATTTAAAAAAAAAAAAAAAATAGAAAACTACGCTTAAACTTAATCCACTAAGGAAGTATTTTTAACATATATATTATATCTAATACTAGAAGGAAAGTTTATAATGTAAACAAGAATCATAACTACATACTTATTAAAAAAATTACCTTTATTAGGTAAAGTACCTCCTAATTGGGCTCCATATAATGACAACACTTTGAGCATGTTCATTGATCCAATGCTTTGAAGAAAGTCTTTATGGAGATAAGTGTAGTCAAGAATCAACTCTTCCAGGTTGCTCAAGTTTCTCAGTGCTTATATATATGTCATGCCACATACACACACAAAAAAAAAAAAAAAAAAAAAAGATAATTTAAAAAAAAAAACACAAAAAGTACGAGCAAAATCTATGTAAGATGAGTCCGAATATTTCCTAGGTTTCACTCACCATGAATTGCATCAATATTTGTAAGATTGTTTTCCTGTAATTCAAGTGTCTTAATTGATGGAAATGCAGCCAAAGATTGTAGTAATTTGTTCATATCAGAAGAGATGTTATTTAAGTGCAACATTTGGAGATGACTGTTCTTTCTAATCCTGCTGCCCGGTACCCCTAATTCACAGACGTTATGCCATGGAACCGTGTTCACCATTCATGGTGAACACGGTTCCAACGGTGTTAGTACACCGTTATCTTTTTTTTTTTTTTTTTTTTTTTTTTTTTTTTTTTTAATTACGTGACTGCCTACACATTCACTTTGGAACCATGCCTACACATTCACTTTGGAACCATGGGATTATGAATTTTCTGTTATAAGATTATGAATTTTCTGTTATGAGATTATGAATTTTCTGTTATGAGATTATGAATTTTCTGTTATGCGATTATGAATTTTCTGTTATGAGATTATGAATTTTCATTACATTCATAATTTCGGACATTCATAAATTATGAATTCATGCATGCACATTCACTTTGGAACCATGCCTACATATTCCCGTCCGAAATCACGGACATTCATAAATTATGAATCTATGCCTGCACATTCACTTTGGAACCATGCCTACACATTCACTTTGGAACCATGAGATTATGAATTTTCTGTTATAAGATTATGAATTTTCTGTTATGAGATTATGAATTTTCAGTTGTGAGATTATGAATTTTCTGTTATGCGATTATGAATTTTCTGTTATGAGATTATGAATTTTATGAAAATTCATAATCTCATAACAGAAAATTCATAATTTGATCAGTAACGCGCCGTTAACTCCACATCCGCGATTTTTTTTTTTTTTTTTTTACCTAAAAACGACGTCGTTTTGACTTGTGTTCACCATTCTCGGTGAACACGATTCCACGGCATAATTTGCGCCTAATTCATCAACAATTAAACATTTAAAATATCAAACTAAAGAGATATGTCATGAAAAAGGATAACGAATAATTACATAAAACTAATCCACCTGATGAAAAGTTTGCAATAGTTTCAAAGCCCTCAATGAAATTGAAACCCAAATTTAAGTCCTCCAAATTGTTCAAAGCATTTATGTCTGTCGAAAAAGTAGACGTGTTATAACATTCACATTGAATATTATCAAAGAATTGTAAATAGAGAAGGAAATGACTGCTATTTTAAATAGGGGATTTACCGTCTATGTGCAATGGCCCGTGAAAATCATTTCCACTCAAATCTAGAATCTTGAGTGAAGGGAGCCCTTTAAGTGATTGGAATATGTCGTTATTAAATCTATTGTTAAATAAAAGCAGCTTCTCCAATTTCTTTAGTCCTCCTCCACCTATATAACACCGCATTTAAAAAAAAAAAATACTTCTTAGTTTACGATGGGTTTTGATAGTAGTTTTCAGGTGCACATTCAGTCATACGCGAATGCACAATCAGACATTTTAAGTTGCACAAAAAAAATATGATTCTCATTTGATCTCATATATATATATATATATATATATATATATATATATATATAGGGACGCACTCAGGTGCGAATAAGTGCCCAGGAAGGAAATGCGAACGAATCAGCGCGCGACACGTGTCCAGATCTAATAACTTAAAAAAAAACGCGGTGGCATTTTCGTAAATAATTGAACATCGAACTGCAAGTAAAATCTCTTATAAGTGCACCTATTTTCACCTATAAGTGCATGTAATTTTGCCTTGTTAGCATTCACTTTCCGCAACCATTCATGCACCTGGGTGTGCTTATAACTATCTGTACAACTATTTATAACTATAGGTGCAACTACTTATAACTATAGGTGCAACTACTTTCACCTATAAGTGCATGTAATTTTGCCTTGTTAACATTCATTGATCTGAGTTCAGCGGGTAGTAATACTCCTGAAAACCACTCGCAAACATTCATACACCTAGATACAACTACTTATACCTATGTGTGCAACTACTTAGAACTATAGGTGCAACTACTTAGAACTATAAGTGCAACTAAGTATTGATGCTCAGTGTAAAGTTTTACTTGCACCTATAATACATTTTACATGCACTTGTAATACATTTTACTTGCACTTCGATGTTCAATTATTTACGAAAATGCCACCGTGTTTTTTTTAAAAAAATCAGTGTTTCTCATCCATTAGATCTGGACACGTGGACGAACAGAATCCATTCCTATTTCGCGCCTGGGCGAGCCGTTCGCACCCGAGTGCAAGTCTATATATATATATATATATATATATATATATATATATATATATATATATATATATATATATATATATATATATATATATATATATATAGGCGCGAAATAGGAATGTATTCTGTTCGTCCACGTGTCCAGATCTAATGGATGAGAAACATTGATTTTTTAAAAAAAACGCGGTGACATTTTCGTAAATAATTGAACATCGAAGTGCAAGTAAAATGTATTACAAGTGCATGTAAAATGTATTATCGGTGAAAGTAAAAATTTACACTGAGCATCAATACGTAGTTGCACCTATAGTTCTAAGTAGTTGCATACATAGTTATAAGTAGTTGCACTTAGGTGTGAATGTTTGCGAGTGGTTTTCAGGGTATTACTATCCGCTGAACTCAGATCAATGAATGTTAACAAGGCAAAATTACATGCACTTATAGGTGAAAGTAGGTGCACCTATAGTTATAAGTAGTTGCACCTATAGTTATAAATAGTTGCACATATAGTTATAAGCACACCCAGGTGCATGAATGTTTGCGGAAAGTGAATGCTAACAAGGCAAAATTATATGCACTTATAGGTGAAAGTAGGTGCACCTATAGTTATAAGTAGTTGCACCTATAGTTATAAATAGTTGCACATATAGTTATAAGCACACCCAGGTGCATGAATGTTTGCGGAAAGTGAATGCTAACCAGGCAAAATTACATGCACTTATAGGTGAAAGTAGGTGCACTTGTAAGTGATTTTACTTGCACTTCGATGTTCAATTATTTACGAAAATGCCACCGCGTTTTTTTTAAGTTATTAGATCTAGACACGTGCCGCGCGCTGATTCGTTTGCATTTCCTTCCTGGACACTTATTCGCACCTGAGTGCGTCCCTATATATATATATATATATATATATATATATATATATATATATATATATATATATATATATATATATATATATATATATATATTCATGATCAAATGAGTCTATCTTTTACCATGAGTCCGTATAGACAGATGTGGTTCATTATCAACTGTGCAGTTACAAAGTAGCACAGTAATACAGTTGCACAGTTAGTTGTTCTAATGTGAACTTCTCCTCCCATGAGAACTTGAAAACTTTTATATAGATGCGCAAAAGCATCTACATAAATGCACAGAATCTCATATTTCATCCGGTGCAAAGTATATACAATCTACTCTGAAATAGTTTTTGTGCATTTATGTATACACTGTTGTGCATTTTTCTTAGTAAAAATACCTTTAATTTGTCCAAAGATCTGAAAATTGTTGCTGCCTATGGATAGCTCTTTGAGACTGGTGAAGTCCTTTAAATCTGTCCCAAAATTGCAAGAAAGATCAATTGGTTATTAACTAGCAAATTGGTTGTTCACGAGTTTAGAAGTCACATGAATATTTAATTATTTAAATTAAAACAGAAACAAAAACAGAACTCTTGTGACAGAATTCTGTTCACTTAATTGTATTTGTTTAAATCTAATATGAAGATAGACACTGTTATTATATTCAAGGTGTATATGTAAAGAACATTAGGAACGGTTTGTTTACTCAGAGCGGATAAGACGTTTTTATCTTCCATCATGGTTGACCCCATAGTGAGGAGCTCTAGATTGCTTAATCCTGAGAGTCTTTCATGACCTATATATATTAAGAATAGAATGAAGGAAAGAAATATTAGCATGTGAATGTCACAACATAAAATGGATATATTGGCACAATATTATTTGACATCACATATAGAGTGATAGAACTCATTAAGTATACCGGAATTATCGAAAGTCGAGTGTAATGGATTTCCAGTCAAATGGAGTTGCTTGAGAGATGAAAGGTGACTGAGAGAAGACAAAATGCTTCGATTCAAATTATTCATGACCAAGTGTAGCACTTTTAGATTTTGAAGTTCTGCCAATTTATCAAAACCTGTAAACATATCTTCCAATTCAGAAGTTTAACAAAAGGGGTAAAGATGAATTTAATGGAATTTTCCCATTTAGACCATCACCGTTTGTGGTGATGTAGTTATGAAGTTATCCATTTTGAGCATGTTATCAATTACAGTAATTTTTAAGCTCCTCTTACTTTAATATCTAAAAGTTTCAATTAACCCTCTTAAATTTTTAATTTAATTTTTCATAATATTTAGTATTAATATACAAAATTTATATATTTAGAAACTACACTAAAAGTACTATTGAACACAAAAAATTCAAATTTAAAAAATAAGTAAAGATATCAAAGAAAATTAACCAAGAAAAAAGAGTTTATTTGACCAAATGAATAGTGAGTAGGACGGATAAAATATGACAGAGGGAGAATTTAATTAACTATAATAAAATTAAAATTAATGGTTAACAAAAAAAAAAAAAAAAAAAAAAAAAAAAAAAACTAACCTCCATTCTCAACAGAACCAGCCAAATAATTTCCTTCCAATTGTAGCACATTGAGTTGTTGGAGTGGGAGAAATACTGAGGCATTGATATACCAATACCCAATTCTGTAATCCCTCACGTAATTGATATTAAGCTCAACCACCCTTCTTGTGATATTGCTACACGCCACACCGATCCATTCACAACAATTACTTTTCTTATCATCAACCCATGAAGCCAATGTTTTTCCAGTTACCTTTATATTAGCTTTCAGTTGCAACAGTGCAATCCTCTCTTCCTCCAAACACCCTAATGACTCCATACTATTGACCAAAACCACAAAAATTACAACCCATAATAATTTTTTCCCCATTTGATGAACTAGCACTAGTACAAAAAATATCAATAAGATCGTATAAATCGCGTCCAAAGTTACAACTTTGGACGCCGAATGTGTAGTGCGGTGGCAATTTTGTAATTAAATTGTCACTATATATATATATATATATATATATATATATATATATATATATATATATATATATATTTAAATAAATCGCGTCCAAAGTTTCGAACTTTGGACGCGAATAATTTAATGAGACCAAAGTTCGCGTCCAAAGTTGCCAACTTTGGACGCGAATGACTTAATGCGGATATAATTCGCGTCCAAAATTGGCAACTTTGGACGCGAATTAAATTTCCCCCAAATTCAATTCAGCATTTCAGCCCGCTCTCCGCCCTAACCCCCCAAAATCAGACCTCTCTCGCCGCCGTCTCCTTCCTCCGTCCTTCAATTCGGTCGCCGTTCATCATCCGCCGTTCACCGTCCGCCGTTCAGACCTCACACCCGCCGGTCGTCGCTGCTCCTCGCACGCCAAGCCCCGCCGGTCTCCGCCCGCTGCTGCTACCACGCCAACCACCGCCGGTCGCCGCTGCTACCTCGCACGCCACCACCGCCGCTGCTACGAACGCCGGACGCCGCTGCTACATCCCCCGCCACCACCGTCGCTGCTACGAACGCCGGCAGAGGTACGGTGATCGAGTTTGTTTAATTTTTTTTTTCTTTTTCGAAAATAATTAATTATTTAATTTTTTTTTTGTTTGTTATTTGTTATTGTTGTTTATTGTGTATTATTGTATATTTGTTATTGTTGTTTATTGTGTATTATTTGTTATTGTTGTTTATTGTGTATTATTTGTTATTGTTGTATATACAAATTTGTAGTGTTATTTGTATTATTTGTTTATAGAGATTGCACCTTTACCGTATAATTTTATAAATGTTTTAATTTGGATAATGTTGTTACTTGGTTAAAATATTAATAGTTATTTTAGTAGTTGTGGATCAAAGGTTATTGTAGCATTGGTGGAAGAAAATTACCTACATATATTGCATTTGATGTATTCGTAAATCATTAATTATTGTATTATTTGTTTATTGTATATACAAATTTGTTGTGTATTATTGTATAAGTTAGACATTGTTGACAAATTCGTTGTGTATTATTGTATATGTTAGGTATTGTTGATAAATTTAGTTAAAGCTTTAATTTGAACCTTTAAGTTATAACTTAAGAAACTAACTCATTTATCATTTCTTAAATGTTGTGTGACAATATATAGGAGATATGGATCGGAGTTGGATGTATAAAAAACGCAATACACTTGAATATGTTCATGGGGTTCAAGAGTTTGTTAAAATTGCCGAGGAATATGCAAGTAAAATTGGTGAAAATTATATAGTGTGTCCTTGTTATGATTGTAGAAATCTAAAAAAGTTTCATAGTTCTGAACAAATTAAGGAACATTTGATACGTCGTGGTTTTAAGATAGGATATGACCGGTGGATATGGCATGGTGAAACTGTCCTTACTAGTAACAGTACAAATCAAAGAGAATGTAGAAAAAATCAAGAGAAAGATCAAAGTAATGAAGATAATGTTAGAAATGATGGAGACAATGATCGGCTAGATGAATTGATGCGGGATATGCAAGGGGATTTGAATCAAATGCCTCAAGAGTTTGAAAGTTTTTTTTGAGAGTTCTGGAAAACCTTTGTTTTCTGGGTGTAGTAAATTTACAAAGTTATCAGCAGTGCTTAAATTGTATACCGTAAAAGCAAAACATAGGTGGAGTGATAAGAGTTTCACGGAGTTATTAGAGCTTTTAAAGGGCATGCTTCCAAATGAGAATGAACTTCCTAGTTCAACTTATGAGGCAAAGAAAATGTTATGTCCGTTGAGTATGGAGATTGAAAGGATCCATGCATGTCCAAACGACTGTATTTTGTATTGGAATCAAAACAAAGACTTGCATGTGTGTCCAAAGTGTGGAGCATCGCGTTATAAACGAAAAGGGCTCGATGATGCATGTGAGCAGAATAAAGGTCCTCCAGCGAAGTTGTTGTGGTATCTACCGGTGATTCCAAGATTCAAATGTTTGTTTGCAAATGCAAAGGATGCGAAGAATTTGCAATGGCATGCTAGTGGGAGAAAAGAAGATGGAAAGTTGAGACATCCTGCCGATTCTCCTCAGTGGAAGAACATTAATAAGAAGTTTCCTGATTTCGGTGCTGAAAATCGAAATCTTAGGCTTGGACTATGCACGGATGGAATGAACCCTCATGGTAACATGAGCAGTCGCCATAGCACTTGGCCAGTTCTCTTAACAGTTTACAATCTCCCTCCGTGGTTGTGTATGAAGCGCAAGTACATCATGTTATCATTGCTAATATCTGGTCCTAAACAACCAGGAAACGACATAGATGTGTACTTGGCACCGCTTATTGAAGATTTAAAGATGTTGTGTAATGTAGGTGTGACAGTATTTGATGCTCATAGTCAAACCAACTTCACTTTACGAGCCATGCTGTTCTGCACAATCAATGACTTCCCAGCATATGGTAACTTGTCAGGGTATACTACTAAAGGGGCTAAGGCATGCCCTGTTTGTGAAGATGAAACGGTTGATCTTTGGTTGAACAACAGTAGGAAAAATGTGTTCATGAGTCATCGAACCTTTTTACCTATTGACCATCCTTATCGAAAGAGGAAAAAAGCTTTCAATGGAAAATCTGAGACTGGAGTTGCTCGCTTACCATTATCAGGGGATGTTGTTTATGATCGAGTGAAAAACATTGATAATGTGTGGGGAAAAACTTCAAAAACAAGTCAAAAGGGTATTTGGAAAAAGAGGTCTATATTATGGGATTTACCATATTGGGAGCACTTATCTGTTCGACATTGTCTTGATGTAATGCATGTGGAGAAAAATATTTGTGATAGCATTATCGGGACATTGTTGAATATTCAAGGTAAGACGAAAGATGGTATTAAAGCTAGAAAAGATATGGTAGAATTGGGGATAAGGACTCAATTAGCAGCACAGGAATCTGGAAAGAGGGCATACTTACCTCCAGCTTGTTATACTCTGTCTAAAAAGGAAAAAACAAGTTTTTGTAGCTGTCTAAATGGTGTCAAGGTTCCTTCTGGCTATTCATCTAACATTAAAAAGCTTGTTTCAATGAAGGACCTTAAATTGGTTGGTATGAAATCACATGATTGCCATGTGCTAATGCAACATATGTTACCTATTGCTATTAGAGGCATATTACCTAACCATGTTAGACAAGCAATTACAAAGCTTTGCTACTTTTTCAATGTCATTAGTAGTAAAGTTGTTGATCCTGAGGTGTTGGATTCTTTGCAAGCTGATGTGGTAGTAACTTTATGCCAGTTTGAAATGTATTTCCCTCCATCATTTTTTGATGTTATGGTGCATTTAACAGTTCACTTGGTGTGGGAAATTAAAATGTGTGGTCCTGTATTCTTGAGGTATATGTATCCATTTGAGAGATACATGGGAATTTTGAAAGGATATGTGAGAAATCGATATCGGCCAGAGGGGAGTATAATTGAAGCTTATGGCGCTGAAGAAGTGATTGATTTCTGTACTGATTATTTGGCTAATGTTCAGTCCATTGGTGTTTCTAAATCACGTCATGAGGGAAGACTCACAGGAAAAGGTACCATTGGGTTTAAAACACATGTCCCAAGTCAAATAATCCGAAATCAAGCACATCATCTCGTACTGCAGCAGCTTTCTGAGGTTCATCCATATTTGGAACAACACTTGTCTATTATAAGGCAACAAAATCCTTCTAAAGGTGAAATGAGGGTGACAAAAGAACACAATTCTACATTTATCACATGGTTCAAAGATACAGTGATGCAAGAGTTATCTCAAGTGCCAAATAATATCACTGAAACCATTAGATGGTTATCGTATGGCCCTAGATTTGTTGTGAGCACTTATGAGGGATATGATATTAATGGGTATACGTTTTACACAAAATGTCAAGATCAAAAAAGTATAGTGCAAAATAGTGGAGTGACATTAGTAGCACAATCAAGAGAGTATTCTAGTGCTAAAGATACTAACCCGGTAGATGCTACTATGTCATACTATGGAGTCATTGATGAAATCTGGGAACTTGATTATAAGGTGTTTAGGATTCCTCTATTCCGATGTTCTTGGGTTGATAACAGGCGGGGTGTCCGTGTAGATGATTTGGATTTTACCTTAGTTGATTTTGGTCGGCTAGGATATCATGATGAACCGTTTATACTTGCATCTCAAGCTAAACAAGTCTTCTATGTTTCTGATCCTATTGATAGTAAGTGGTCAATTGTCTTACAAGGCAAAAGAAGTATTGTTGGTGTTGGTGATGTTGTTGATGAAGAGGAATATGACCAATTTGATGAAACCCCACCATTTTCTATTGGTATTCAACATGTGACTTTATGTGAAGATAACATTGATACTAATTACATGCGTACTGATCATGAAGAAGGGTTGTGGATTGATCATCCGACAGTATAATTTCTATAATGTAATGTTATTATTATTTTTTAACATGGTTATATTTTATAAGATGTTCTTTATAACATATTTATCTTATGCATGTGCAGGTATATATATACATGGCTGACGATCACACAGATCCGGTGGTGGAGGAATCTTCAAAGGGAACAGAGAGCAAAGTGCGTAAAGCAAGAGGAGCTACAACTTGCAGTAAAATGACAAAGAAGAGACCAGAGGATGAGTCTAAGGCAATTGAGTTTGATGAGAAGAATAGGCCTCTTGGGCCAAATGCAAGGAAGTACTCAAATTACCTTGGCCTTATGGTTCGTATTCACATAGACATAAACATTCCGCACTGGCGTCTTGTTCCAACTGCGGTTAAAGATGCAGTCTGGGATGAACTTAAGGTAATAGTCAATAATTTAATTTATATATTAATCATTATTTCATTTTAGTTTTGCGTTCATTAGTTTATATATGTTAATGACAATAAAGGCCTAATTATTTGTTATTTTATTGTTGATTTTCAGAAAGAGTTTAATATCCCTGAGTCGAGAAGAAGTCATATTTTGGTCCATGCACGGCTACGTTGGAAAGATTTCAAAACAAGATTGGTCCGTGACTTCATCAACAAACAGAACGAAAAATATAGCTCTCCCTGTGAGTTATATAAGTTCATGGATGAGAAAAAATGGGAGCAATTTGTAACCACGCATGAAACTGAAGCTGCCAAGGTACAGTACATAATTTAATTCCTTAATAATCATGTAACATGGTTATTATGAACATATTATTAAGTAATAACTTTTGTGTAAGCAGGCCAACAGTCAAAAGTATAGGGAGTTGCAAGCACGGAATGTGCATCCTCACTATTTAGGGTCTAAGGGCTATGCTGGAAAGCAGTCTGAGTGGTTGATATGCGACCCATTGTCTTCACAATCTTCTTGTGCGGCTATTACCTCGAACATATCATCTACTGATCGTAGTTTGGATTGGGTTCGAGCGCGATCTAAAAAATCTGAAGATGGAAGTTATTACATTCCCAATGAAAAAACGAAGGGAGTGTTGGATAAAATTGTAAGTAATACAAATACCTTAAATATATATATTATTGACGAGATTACTAGCTAACATGTAAATTTTAAATCTTTTTTTTTTTTTTTTTTTTTGTGTTGAAATATAGGTTGAGAAGTGTGAAGAGATAAGTCAAGGCTCATTCCAACCAAAAAGGCAAAATGATGTATTGACAACAGCTCTTGGCACCAATGAGTACGGTGGCTATGTGAGAGGTGTTGGAGTGTACTCCAATATTAGGGATGTGTTTGGTAAACCGGAGAGCATAAGTCGTGGAAATTCAGCTGGGCTTGTTTCAGTTAGTGATATGGAGAAGATCATAGAGAAGAGAATATATGACAAAGTGGCTGAAAAGATTAGAAAAGAAACAATGGAAGATATGCAGCCCAAGTTTGATTTGATGCAATCCCAACTGGAATATTTGATGAAGAATGTACAAGCAAGTCCAAAAGTTGGCACACCAACTCGGAGCAGTTGTCATTCTATTGATCAAGTCAACAAAGTTAAGGTAATATTGAATATCTTTAATATTTTGAATATTTGATATTCGATCTACTTGTTATTATGTCTTTACTTTTGATTCATAGGAAAATCCAAAACAAACCCGAATGATGAATTTTGAAAGTGGTGATCAATCTGCTGTCCAATTACGACCACTTCTTGTTGATGATGATACACTGCAGCAATTGGGAGATGAATCTAAGAAATTGGTCAGACTTATTAAGAACCTGCCTTTCGATTTAGATTACATTAATGTGGATCTAGATGAGGCAATCTTCCATCATCAAAATGTGGATTTCATTCACGTGTTGTTTCAAGATATTAAAGACTTGTTGACGATGCGATGGCTTGATGTGACCATATTACAAATATTTATAATGTAAGTATTTTTTATAATGTTTTTATATTTAAAAACTTGTCTTTAATTAGTCGTTCATTTTTATTAATTATCTATATATATGTTGTAGATGTCTTAGTCGGTTGTGCTCCAAAATTGGAGTTCATACAATTGGATTCCTCTGTCCAAGGACTATTTGTGCTGACTCTGTACGTGCGGATATTGATAAGGTCTCAAAATATCTTGTGAATGCCATGGTTGAACAGACGAATCGACACTTCATTTTAGCTCCATACCATGAAAAGTAAGAAAACTATATTTATATTTTTAATTATTTGTTTAACTTAATTGCATTATTTGTGAATAACACTTAACATATTCATTTAAATGCCTTAGAAATCATTGGATGCTTCTAGTTATTTCTGTTCCATTAAGAAAAGTCTATGTATTAGACTCCATTGCAACAAGTGATCGCGAGTTTGAGATTAAGGCCATATTGAATGTGTAAGTACACACACACACACACACACACACACACACACACACACACACACACATATATATATATATATATATATATATATATATATATATATATATATATATTTATATTTATATATATTATATTTTGAGAATTATTATTAACCATTATTGTTTATAAATTATTTACGATTGTATATTATAGGGCATTTCGATCGGTTGAAACTTTAGGAGGGAGAAGATCTAAAAACAACGTTGATTGGGTTCACATTGAGGTATATATATCTTTCATATTTCATGTTAATGTTTTTATTGTTTAAAATATTAATATATAAACATATTTTCTAGTGTCCTCAACAACCGGGTGGTGTGGAGTGCGGGTATTATGTGATGAGATTCATGTATGAAATATGCACTCAATGTTGGGATTCTGATGATTTGGATATGGTATGTAAAATTTATTAAAAGTAAATAGTTTTAAATTACAGTTTAGTAATGTTAAAACTAATTATTTGATTATTTTAAATTTTTGTAGGAATTATTCTTTAATAGAAAGCCTTATTCAGAAGCACAAATTGATGAGGTTCGTGAGATTTGGTCTAAATATTTTACTCAAGAATGTAAATAAATTTTTGAAGTGTGATTTAATTATATTAGTTAGTTGAATTGTAATGATGTATTGTTGGTACTTATCTAGCTTATTACATATGTGTTGAAGTAGTACTGTACTTATCTAGCTTATTATTTAGTGTTAAAGTGTTGGCGGATTGATGATGTATTGAACTTAGTTGAAGTAGTGTACTTATCTAGCTTATTACACATGTGTTGAAGTAGTGTAGTTTAATTATTTAGTGTTAAAGTGTTGGCAAATTGATGATGTATTGAACTTTAGTTGAAAGCTTTGAAGTGGTAGTGGTTGTGACTGCATGTACAGATGAAAAATATACTTTTTTGTACAGGAAAAAAACTGGATTTATTAATAAAATAAAATAAAATAAAATAAAAACCAATAATTCGCGTCCAAAGTTCTTCAACTTTGGACGCGAATTATCATTTTATTAAAACAAAATGATAAATCGCGTCCAAAGTCGAAGAACTTTGGACGCGATTTACTGACATTTCGCGTCCAAAGTTGACCAACTTTGGACGCGAAAAGTAAGTAGTCAACAGTCCAGATCGGATAAATCGCGTCCAAAGTTCTTCAACTTTGGACGCGATTAATCATTTTTCGCGTCCAAAGTAGCTTTCGCGTCCCCGACATCTGCGTCCCAGCTACTTTGGACGCGAATGAGGCTTTACTTTGGACGCGAATGACTGTTTCTGTACTAGTGTAGAACAGTGTGGCTATATATCAATCTATTGCATGCGCTATAACTCTGACAACACTACTTATTTTCTAAGCTTAGCTTCCTTAAATAAGAACTGCTAGCTAATTTAGTCCATACAACATCTAATCTTAGTCAAATATATGAATACTCCCTCTGTCCCATTTTATGTGTCTTACTTTCCTTTTTAGTTTGTCCCAAAATGTTGTCCACTTTCCAAAATTAAACATCACCATCATTCTACTTTTTTCAAATTACCCTTCTAGCTTTTGCTTTCTTTATTGTTTTTATTTCTAAAAGTGAAAAAGTGAGGGGCATAATTGGAAAGTGCATAACATTTACTTTAATTCATTAAAAAGCGTGCAAAAAGTAAATGAGACATCCAATTCGGGACGGAGGGAGTAATTATTAAGATTACATAATTGGCGTCTTGTTTATTGATTGAGAGGACAATTCAAAATTATGGTGAAAATGGATTTCTGGATTGGCATCTTCCTCGACAAGTCAAGCACGTGCTTGACTTGGATCGGAACAAAAGCAAAAAGTCCTTGGAAATGCTCTCAAGTCTTGCTGGTGGTAACATCCAACGAGCAAAGATATTGTTTTTATATTTTTTTTTTGTTTGAATGCTACTTACTCTATTACCTAATGAAGTACAAAGATTCAACAACACTTCCAGTAAGATCACTATATGCCATCTGAGCACAAGGTGTTTGGTAACGAGCGAAGATATAATTAACTTTATATATATATATATATATATATATATATATATATATATATATATATATATATATATATATATATATATATATATATATATATATATATATATATATAGTAGATGGGGGTATGCCTCCGCAGAGGTTTAGTTTGTGAAAAATAAAACATGTAAGAATTAGGATAGTAATTTGTGAAAAAGAAATAATGTAGTAGTTTTTGAAATGACTATCCAATGACATGTAGTAAGATAAATTTTGAAGAGTTTGGGTATGTGTAGGAGTTGAAGTGACTAATCCATGACATGTAGTACATAGCTGATACTGCTAATTATACGTAAGCAATATGAAATAAGCCGAGACCAAATAAAGCAAGTAAATGTCTTTATTGATCACGGTAAAGGCCCTAAGTACAATCTACTTGGTTGCTCTGAGTACCGACTGACTGCGGTCGGGATTCTCTAACAACAACCTATCGATCGTCCAAAAGTCCCTACACTGTAGCTACTGTGGGTATTTATAGCCGCCGTGCCGGGGACAGGATTCCGGCCGCTCGGCATGTCTTCCACGTAGCCACCACGTGTCACCCTCCCGGGTGCCCTGTCTGTCATCATGAAGAGCCGCCACGCGTCCTTTCGCGTCCTTTCGCCAGCTCTCTCGTCAAAGGGCTACCGCTCGGTGATCGACACCAGCGTTCGGGCAACTTCCGGCCGTTCCCGACCGGGGTCTGCATGAAAAAGCCCGACCTGCTACCTGCAAAGATCAGAAGAAAAAGACAAAGGCAAAGTCGGTCGTGGTGGAGCTTATGTCGGTCGGGATATTCCCTACCAAAAGCCCCCCAGCCCGGGTCTTTTTGATCTCTCGGAAAAAAACGGGACGGGATGAAGAAGCCGAACCGTCAGCCACCAAGCCGACCTGCCAGCTGTCATTCCCTTCCTCGCCACGTGTCGGCCACTGCCGGCCTCTGCGACTGCAACCGTCGCCTCGGAGTCAGCGCCAGTCGTGTCACGCAAGTGGGCTCTTTTCCCGCCTAAATGCCCTCCTATAAATAGGCCCTTGAGGCCCTCATTTGAACTTTCCTCACTCTTTTGCTTCAATCGGTACCCTCAGAGAGTCCCGAGCAAAGCACCTTTGCAAGGCAGTCGAGCAAGGACTTTCAAGCTTTCATCCGCGAAGTTCCCTCAATCGGTAAGTTCTCAACCCTTCTCTTTTCTTTATGCTTCCATTTTAGGTAGAACTTCTAGGTCAGCTAACTGTCCCGGACATTCTAAGTCCTCTACTAACCCCGACCGACCTTTAGGTAGATCGAAATGACGGACTCTGACAGTCAGAATGCCTCGATCGCGGATTATGACGAAGAGGTCGAGCATCTCAGCGACGAGGAGGTGGACATCATGTCCTACTCCCCCGAAGCTATCTACCGACCGGCGCCAGCCCCCGAGCGGGCCGCCGCACAAGACACGTCGTCTAGCTCATCCGGGTCGTCGAGCTCGAGCTCAAGCGGATTGGGGAGCTCCGGCGAAGAAGAAGAAGAAGAAAGAACCACGTCGGGGAGACAAGGATCTCCGACCGAAGGCGCTAGGGAAACGCCCATCCGGGTGGTTGGGGACCACCCGGACGCCGTTCAACGGCGAGGCGCCCGGGAAAGTACACCTGAACCGGCTGAGGAAGACGCTGCTGGGCCGGCCGCACCAGCAGTTGTAGAGTTCGAATTCTTGAACAGCGAGAACGTCGAACAGCAAATGAGCCGGTTGACCAAAGGTGAGGCAGTCAGGATTGCCGAGAAGCTCGGGGGTCGGGTAGAGTTCGACACGAGCCGGAAGCTAGGGAACGTCATCGATCGGCATTGGGGCAAGTGGATCGGGATGCACTACGACTCCCTGATGGCCCCGATCGCCATTCCCTTTACCCCCCTCCTGAACGCCTTCTTGGCCTATTACCGGGTCGTCCCGGCCCAGATCTGCCCCAACTCGCACCGGATCATCGCCTGCTTTCCGCAGATATGCGCTCGGCATGAGGCCGCCTGTACGATGGAGTTATTCAACTACATCTACCAGGTCAAAATTCTCCCGGGCAGCTACGGTGGCGGGTTCTTGATGTTACAGTCCCGAGCTGACATGTGTGCAATCAAAGGCCTGCCCGGGAATAACAAGGGGTGGAAGAATAGGATTTTCTCCATCAAATACGACCCCTGGATCCTCCCGGTTGACCGCGCTTGGAGCACCCACTTTCGGAAACAAGTGGTGCCGGACGAGACTCAAGCGCTCAAGGAGACGGTCGTTCGGATCTCGAGTGAGCTGCACGAGTACACAATCTTCCGGACGGCTGAAAGTCTTGAAGCAGCCAAGCTCCCGCCCCCTACGTACGAGCTAAGGGAAAAGTATCTGCCCGTACCGATGGGCGTGACGGTCGCCAAGCCGTCGAGGCGGAGGAAGAAAGGTTTAACTCGAGCTACTGCTCCCGACCCAGCTTTATTTCTTGCCCAAACTAACTTGATTTTTTTTATTTGCAGCTATGGCCGAATTCGGTGATGAAGACACTTCCCTTCCCCCGCCCACCAAGATCTCCCTTGGCGGCAAGAAGAAGGCGAAAGCCAAGCCAGCCGGGGAAAAGGAGATCCCCTTGGCCCGACCCCTAAGCGCCTCGACCGTGACGACGGGCGAGGGCTTTATCGTCGAGCCGTCCGATGTCTTGGTCGCCCGGGTAGAAGTTGCCCGAGGCAAGGAGAAGGTCACCGACCGGGACGTGACCGAGGTAGGTGGTATTAAGCGCCGCCGGGAGCAACGTAGCCCGAGCCCCTCGGTCGGGAGAGAAAAGGACAATATGTCCATACTGGCCCGGATCGGCAACGCCGGGCCAACCAAGGAGGATCTGGGGAAGATGACCCCGACCCAGGTGGCCGAGAGGATTGGCCACGACCTGGCCGAGGTAAGCTTCCTCCCAGTGACTCTTTCATTTTCTTATGCAAGTGCCCCCGTTCGGGCTAATCCCGAACATCCTTTTGTATTTGCAGATTTCCCGAGCGGCTCAGCTCCTGCAAGGTCGGGCAATGCTGGCCGAGGAAGCCGACCGGCACAAGAAGATGGCCGCCCGGCGTCTTCAGGAGGTGAAGGACGTTCAGGCCGAGCTGGAGAAAGTCCAGAAGGCCTTGAAGAAGAGCGAGGAAGACCGGGTCCTTGCAGAGAAGGTCGCCCAGCGGGCGATCGGCGAGAACAAGGAATTGAAGACCCGCCTGGAGAGCCCGGAGGAGCTGGCCCATTCGGCCTTCAAGGACGATCAGATCGGCTCGGCCTTCCTCACAGCTGCTCGGAGGACCAAGGTCGGGGAGGACCTGATTCTCTCCTTTGGTCGGTGGGCCTTCAAGGCCGGCCAAAGGAAGATGTTAGAAAAGGCCCAGAAACGGTTGGGGGAAGCCCTCGAAGGCGACGACCTCCAACTCGTACTGTCTGCCCTTCCCCCGACCTAGCTGACCCTGGCCCCTCTCCCTTTGCTCCGAAAGAAAGAGCGGCTGAGCCCGGTGGAACATCTGCGGCCACCCCGAGCGGGAAGGAAACGGCTGCTGGAGCTCGGGAAACGAAGAAGTAGAGTAGGCTTCTTTTCTTCTTCTTCTTTTTTGTAAAGGACCACTGATCGGGAGCCCGGTCCCGATTTGTACCGGGCACTCCATTATATCAATGAAATTCACATTTTGTTAAACTTGCGTCACTCGTCCCTCTTTCTGTGTCTTTATTTTTATTCACGCACAAGCCGAACCTTAATGCTCGACCTCATAGCCTTTTGGCCCGGTCTCGCATTACTCGACCCGCTCAACGCCCGACCTTACGACCTTATGGCCCGGTCGTGCGTTCGAGATTCCGACGTCCAACTGGCCAACCGGATCGGGTTTAGCCGATCTCCAGGCCTTTGTCAGAAATTTTGAGATTGCCATAGCCTCCATGTTCGGGATATCTCCGAACAACGGACTTAAATCAACGTCATATTGCCCCAGAGAGTCGGGTTCTCCCGAGTGATGGGCCTACGGACACTCCCTTATCCCAGCCCCCACACTATTGTGCTCTCGAGGCACGAGTGAGTGCGATAGTGGACAGGAGTTGATTAGATCGGGGAATTATGCTGTGTGCTCCTTGCTTCCCCAATCAGTGGCGTGACTCGCATGTCCGCCGATGTGGAGCGCTTTTGACCGGCCGATAGGTTCGCCCGGTTGATATAATTTGAAGACGAACTGATTTGCATGCACTGAAGGCAAAGGAAATAACCGACCGGGTCGCCGCGTGCAAGCGGTCGAGCAATCATCGATCGTATATACATTAAAACCTTCCCGCTCGCAGGCGGTTACAACATAAACATTTAATTACAAACGACGACCGAGACCCACTCGCAGGTCGAGCCCCCA